AGCTGCAGTAATGTGCAAATTTCCAGACTGTGGGATCAATAAAGTTTTATCTTATCTTATTTTATCTTAAAAACAGTTTTTAGTCGGTAGATTACTGTGTTTTTGCAATGAAACTACAAATATGGCTGAACGGGGTGGAGTCGAATGCTCAGCGACCTGGAGGGGGCGGGGTGTGAAATATCTCATTTGTATTTAAAGAGACCGCACCAAAACAGCTTGCTCTGAGGCGCAACTCAGAACAGGGGTAAAACAAGGAAAGCAAGGAGTCTGTGGAGCAACAAAAACGAGGAATTAAGACCAAAGCGTTGCAGTTTTATTTTAAATAGACCATAAGTGAATGATTTAGACGTGAAAAAAAGGATTTAAAAGCATGACACGATTAGAATATTCAGCATTAACTGAATTAAATTTTAGCAGCTCCAGTATTGTTTTTTGTTTGTTTACATGAGAGGTTTGTGTTCATTTTGTTTGCTTTTACATACAGTATATCCACATTATGTTTTGATGGAGCTTTTCTCACAAACGGCTGTGTGCTGTTACAATTTAGCATCAACTACAGATGACGCCCCAACAACAAACCCCTTTCCAAGCATCTGCTCCGCTGCAGACCAAAACTGAACCTGCTCCTTCAGCTCTCACGCAACATGTAGTCCATGAAGCAGCAGCGTCTCATCTCACTCCCATCCCTGAGTCTGCAGCTGTTGGTCCTGCGGATGGCCCAGAGGTTCTGGTAACATCACACTTTGGGCGGGGGCTGATTATTGGCTCGTCTCTAACCAATCACATGCAGGTTTTTGCTATTTTCTTCTTCTTGGGCAGTGAAAAGATAGGATTTCTCTGCAAATAAATCTGTTTGTAGAAATGCTTCCTCTGACATAGTCAAACTAATATTGCTTGTTTTAATTTACAGAGATCTGCAAATCACTTTGTACTGCATCTGTGTTTACATCAGCTGTTTCTTGTGTTTTTTGTTTTTCTAAAGGTGATTTTGGTGTTTTCAAAGCTTGATTCTCTATAGATTGATGTTTTCCTCACCTGTCCATTTACTCGGGCTTATGCTTGGGTCCTGATTTGTTTCCTTTGGATCAATAAAGAAAATATCTGTTAATTTTACAACTTGTTTTCTGCTGCTAATGCATTTTCCCTGTTTTTTGTCTTTTAATTTTTTTACAGGCTGCAGGAAGAGAGATTCACAAAGCTGGCTCTTTGACGCCCCCCTCATCACCAAAGGCTGCCCCTAAAAGTGGCCACAGACGAATCCTGAGCGATGTCACTCACAGTGCCGTGTTTGGGGTCCCGGTCAGCAAGTCAACCCAGCTACTTCAGGCAGCAGCAGCTGAGGCCGGCCTCAACAAGTCCAAGTGAGTACAATTAACTCCTTTCAGCAGTCCAAGAATGAACTGTCCTTTCAATGCACAGAGGCAGTCTGGAAGGCCAACAATCAGTTCATTCATATGACAGCAGCCCTTCTACACCCCTAAGAATCAGGTTTTAGGAAGATTTGCTGGATTTAGTCTTTAAATAACTCTTTTTATCACAGAGCACACAGACTTTATGTTGAATTTCACTTTGCATTCTTAGCAAACATGTTGTGTTTGTACTCCAGATCAGTCAGCACCACTCCCTCTGGCTCCCCTCGCTCATCCCAGCAGAGTGTGTACCATCCAGGTGGAGCTGATGCTCCATTAGCATTGGTTGCTCCCAACTCTCAGTCCAGCTGGAACCCCTTTGGAGATGATAATTTCTCCAAGCTGACTGCAGAGGAGCTGCTCAACAAGGACTTTGCAAAGCTTGCCGAGAGTAAGTGGTGCACCGTGTGATTCCGCATACAGCATCATTTAAAAACTACCTCTGTGTGATCTTAAAACGACAACAACATATTGTTTGTGTGTGATCAGCTGCTCCAGCAGGAGAAAAGGGCTCAAATTCCAATGAAAGTCTCATTCCAGAGCTCATTGCTTTTCCAGGTAAAGTTGAATTCTTCTCAGTAAGAAGTATTTTCAATTGTTTACGTTTCATCAGTTACTCCCTCTTTTATTCACACTGGGCCTCATGCAAGAACCGTTCGTATGAACAGATTTGTTCTTAAGTTGTGCTTACGAGTGATTTAGGAGGATTTGTGGCATTCACCAATTTTCTCGTATTGTAAGGTTTTCTTCAGATACGAACAAAATTCACGAGTGGTCCAGACCTGTCATATATTTTACGAGCAGTCAGTCTGCTGTTATCCAGARGGATTTTRRTCARTAATAACTTTATATTTCATTAGTTTGAAGATATTTTGAGTTGAAAATAAATCACACTCCATAATTATGTTGACAACAGGTTATTCTATTTGAATTGAAATTATATTTTAAATGTAACTAACGACAGAAATTGGTTAAATTAAATTAAATTGGTAGCGGTGAACGACTGCTTTTCTTCTGAAAAAATGAAAACTATGTAACACAGTTGTTTACACTTGGATTAAAATATTTGACCAAAGAAAAACCAGAGCAGGACGAGAGAGAGATGAATATGATTTAGATTTTTATTTCTGTGACTGTACGACCCACAGGAGACATGACATTAACAGCAGTCATTTCATTCCTCAGCTTTAGCAGGTCTGACACTTCTAAAAATGACAGATTTTTTTTCTGGATCTCTGAGAGCAGGGCTTCAGTCTTCGAACTCGTAAAGTTCTTCTTTTTTACTTTTCAATGTCATTCATGAATGGACTCCCTGGTATGTGAGGCAGGAAACGTAGCCTTATATGTCCTGATGCATCTCAGTAATCCAGGTAAAAAAATCAAAAGGAAAAAATTTGTATAGGTCTTCTGGACGGGTTCTTCTTTAATGAAACGTTTCGTCTCAGACTTCTTCAGTCTGAGAGTTTCAGGCAAAATTCAGGCCTGACTTTTGCCTGAAACTCTCAGACTGAAGAAGTCTCTTGGAAGAGAGACGAAACGTTTCATTAGAGAAGAAACCGTCCAGAGGACCTATACAAATTTTTCCTTTTGAGTAGCCTTATATGGTGTTTTTGGAGTGGTAATTATGCTAATCACCTCTCCCAGTGCACGAGCACCTGATACACATTCATCATGTTTACGCAGCTCATTTACACACTTTTCCTGAAGATAGAAGAGTTTGTTGAATCTGACGTGACATGTTCATACGAACAAAAGTAAGAGAAATTTGGGATAATAATATGATCGTGTTTTTGCATGAGGCCCATTATTACCCAAAATAACTACAGACATGTCAAGTGCAGACTCTTCTCAACCCTTTCAGTTCTCAGTTTCTCTCTGATGCAGTAGGTAATGTTGCTGTGATGCAGAATGCTCTGTTTTCATCTTTCTCACATGCAGAACTCTTACCACAAACACGGTCTTGCAGGGGTATATTCACACAGCACGTTAATGTTGTTTTACAGAAGCCAGTTTTGTAGTTCAGCTCTGTAAGCACAGTCCTGTCTTGTTGATATAACTAGCAGCTTTCCATTGGATTCTTGTTTGTGTGTCCATGAATAGACACCTTTAGAAACAGCGAGATGGCATCTCTCTTGCAGATCTGTGCTTTTACTGTTGCCTGGTAACGTGAAGGACAACTTCTCCTTTGTTAATTGGATTGCTTTACTGCTGGAAGAGCCTGCTTACTGGTGCCAAGAAGAACAAGAGAAAGTTAAACACTTGGCCTTGTTAAAATGATCCTCCTAATTTTTATCCCTGTCAGATTAGCCTTTAATCTTTTGCAGAAGTGTTGTCTTTTTAGTTGTTTACCCTGCTTTTGGTGAAGTGCTGTTTAAGGCCTGCACTGAGAGGATAACGTCCTGGTGGTTATTATGTAATAAGAGTGTGGCTAATCGTCTCTACCTTTAAGCTGTCTCTGTATGATTCACTCATATAAGATGCAGCCACAGTTTGACCTTTGCTGATGGAACAGAAGATTTCTTCTGAGTATGAGAGATGTCTTGTTGGAATTGCCTACAATGAGGTCGTCGTGTTTTTAATACTGGCTTTATAAAATCAAGGATTCCTGAAAATCCTTATGTCCATTTTGGCCTTTCTCTCATAGTGATAGAGGCTAAAGGTCACATCTGCTGTGCCATTTTCTGAGTCAACACATTCCTTGTCTACACCCCATACCCCTATTTTACCCCGTAGACGTTTTCCTGTGAGTATGAGCAGCAGTCAGCGTTTGGTTATGTGCATGGATTGTATTTGTTTTTAGTTTTTTAATATTACAGAGATGCTGCAGTTTGTGAAACTAAACCGGTATTTATAATGAGTTATAAATCGTATTTAACAAAAATTGTTCAGTGTGTTGAATTTGTTTACCTAATTGTACGGTGTTAAAGTGTGTACTTACTAATGGTTTGGTACCATAATCAGGTGCAGTATGATATTAATGTTTATTTAATGACTGGTGTTGACATTTGTTGCTGAATTGCATAGAAGTGTATGAACTCACAGATAGATATTTTTATTGTTTCTGTTTCACTCATGTTACTAGAAACAGTTTTTAGTATTGTTTAGTTTTTCTTCACAGCTAGGCATGTCGTGCTCAGAAAGTAAATATTACTGACCACATAGACAATGAAATGTCTACCATATTTCAAACATTTTGATTTATTTACACTTTTATGGGATGCTACAACTTTTGTAGGGTATTTAAAAAATACAATTAATGTGCCTAGGAGTGTCCCGATACATTTTACTTCCGATACAATACCAATATTGCTGCCTTCAGTATTGTCCGATACTGATTTCAACCCGATACGATATCAGAACAAATCCTAAATATAAGCTTTTTTGTATTGTGAATTCTTAAAAAGCCTTGATCAGGTCAAACAGTAAACAATAGTCAACAACAGTAGCAGTGAGAAATATTGTAATCCAATGGGTTACATATTTTTCTAACTTAAACATAAGACTATTGTACAATTAAATCAACAATAAAATAGATCCTGAAAAATGACCTCAATAAATCCGATAAAAACAAAACTTACTTTTAAAATGTAAAATAACTATTCAAGGTCACTTAAGTTATTTACTGTATTTATTAGGGATGCACCGATATATGAAAATTTCAGGCGATATCGCTGTCCGATATAATTATTGCTGTTATGGCCGATAACCGATATTTACCGATATTACACAAACACACAAATTATATTATACATATAAACACAAACACACTTGGGTCTTTTTTTGATACCGTAAATAAACAACCAGACCTCTAACATGGCTCCCTACTTCAGATATTCCTGGCTGCACAGCGTCAATATCACCATCATGATCAAACAGATGCCGCTCAACCAACCATCTCCCCTCCCAAAAGAGAAACACAAAGATAAAAAGTGGGAAATCACTATCGGATATTAATATCGGCTCAGTTTTACTTATCGGACCAATACCGATATTCTAAAAAATGAACATTATCGGCCGATATTAATGCCGATATATCATGCATTCCTAGTATTTATTATCTATAATACTAGACATTTAACCCTAAAAATCATCCATAAAGTAGGGGGATAGTATTATAAACAGGTTATCGATAATTAGATTTTTATGCTATGTAAGCTCAAAAAATGATGATCGTATTATACATGACTAAATACTGCTGGATCCAAGTGCTGCTGGATAGACATCCTGAGCAGACTACTAGAATTGACTGCTTATATCGGAGTGCTAATATCAGTGATTTTAGGACATTATAATCAGATCATTTTTTGGCTAATTTTGAACCAATATTCAATATTGATACCTGATCAGGACACCCCTAGAAGTGCCCGATATTGTTTTTAAGCATTTATATTGTACGTCAGAGGAAAGTTGAAAAAGAAAAGACTAGCATCTACTAACTTGCTTATTGTGAACACTTCACTTTGTTAGTATTTGTTTATCTGTGATGTCGACAGTTCTGAAAGTTTTTTTGTTTTGAATAAACCTGGAGCAGCTGTTGGACAAAATGTTCATTCTAAAATGTCATAAAGTTGTTTGTCCTTCTGTAAACATCTATTTGTGCAAATCTATATCTGTGAAAATGGCTGAAGGGCAATTGATTCATTTTCTGGACAAAACAAACCCAGAAAATAAACTGATGTTCAACTTCCCTTCATCAAAGAGCCACATATCACCAACCCCAAAATTAACTTTGTCAGAAACACATCAACCTAATTTCACTTTTTATTTTTATTGCATGACTCACTTCCTTTCTCACTTTTGAACCGAAGTTTTTCTCCTGCTTCTTGACCTCTCCACTTTTGCTGTTTCCTTCAGTATTTGTGCAAATGTTCCTAAGTTAGTAGTCTTATTTTATGTTTCGTTCTTACTTTTTTTCCCTTTCAGATGGTTAAGAAAACAATCACACTGTGCGAGAGAGGAGCAAATATGGTCTCGAACATGTTTTTGTCTGCAAAACTAACATTTATTTTTCAACTTTCTGTCTCTGTGTAGCCAAGGCAGAAGTGTGTGTGGACTCACTAATACCAGGTTTAGATGCTCCCCAGACGCAGCAGCATTCTGGGCAGCCGGAGCGCGTTGCTGCCAGCATGCCAGGTTAGCCTTCTGAATCACAAAACACAAAAAGAAACTCTGAACTGATTTAAAGTTGGTTTATAATCTGTTTGCGAGCTGATGCTGTGGTAAAAACACCTCAGTGAAAAGTCGTTTTGACCTTGGCATCTGGATTACAGACACTGGAACAATGATTCAGATCAAAGCCCAAAGGTTTCTCGAGGTGGAAAGTTTTGTTTTTGATAAACTCTTAAGATTAATTTTGTTTTTATTTTTACTTTTCCTTTTGAAATATAACATTTTACATTGTGAAGTTTTGACTGCTCTAAGACCAACTGTCAGACTTAAAGCTGGGAGTCACTGCTGCTTTAATTTGAAAGCTGCAAATGTTAAACCTTCCTACTAACAAATTCATCCTGCATTGCTAACAGTCGTATTGTATTGTGACCCTCTTTGCTTCATTCTGCCTCAGATTCTTTCACTGGGGAGGACTCTCTGCTGGGTTGTGGTCTGTTAACTCATGCTTCATGTGGAAACCAGCCCGTTTCTGCTCTCTCTTCCTACTCTTCTGTTCCCCCTGGTTGTGGCTCTGGATCCGGTCTTGAGGAGCCGCAAACTGCTCTTGCTTCTCCTGGTAAGATCTTCCTTTTTGTAGAGTTTTGACCACACAATTGAGGAGCACAGATCCACCTCACATTCATGCTTATTGATGGAGAACTGTGGCTTAGACAAAGAGCTTGTATTAGACTGAATCGATATAACTGTGATTTTTTTACTTTCACGATAAAACCACACAACATTATTCGATTTTAAATCAATCTTATTGACCTGGCCCAATCAATTTTATCTGCTGCATCCTTTTTTCTTTCTTCTTCTCTGCTGCTGTGGATTCTTTCTCCTTTTATCACTTCACGCCCTCTTCCTTCAGACTCCTCCTCTTTCCTCATGTCTGGTGGGAAAACGGTCAATGACGATGAGTTTGACCCTATTCCCGTGCTCATCCCCAAAAATTCAAATCAAGGTAAGGCTGAGAGATTTGTGACATGAGCATTCGCACCTGCTGAAGCCCAAGAGATGAATGATTTGAGCCCTAGTTTAGTCATCACAGCTTGTTCTTGTGATTGCTAATACAAGAAGGCTTGTGTGAGTGTGCCTGTCACATCAAGGCTGTATTTCCCCCTCATCAAGCTCTCACATTAGTTATTTTCTTTCCTTTGTGCCTGAAGTGAAGCTGCCAGTGTTACTCGGTTTGAAGGTGTTTTTCTTGAGCGTTTATCTTAAAAACTCCCTTATGTTAGAATGCCATTCCCTTACTTTCTTCCTGTATTGATGCAGCTGTTTAAACATGATCCAGCTTATTCTCTGCTTCTTCTCTCTTTCTGTCCCTTTTCATGCATACTTCCCCCCTCTCCCCCTTTCATTCTTATCTCCTCACTTCTAATTTTTTTTCCATACAATCCCCTGTTAATGACCTCCTTTCATTTGCTTGTTTCTAATAATTTCCCATGGCTCCTCCATGCCCATCTCTGTCTCTTTCTTTCTTTCTGGCACGTTTTCAGGTGGTCACTCGCACAGCAACAGTGGCACTTCAGAGTCCAGCATCCCCAACTTGGCCCGCTCTCTTCTGCTGGTGGATCAGCTCATCGACCTCTAGAGGGGGGTGGGAGAGGTCGAAGGGGCAGAGTACAAAATCCGAGGGGGTGGGGGGGACAGAAATGGGCAACAGAGGCACTTAACGTAGCAATTATTGAAGTGATAAAAGCCAGCATGGATTGATTCAGGCGAACCATTCTCCTCATGTGTCTCCTTGGCCTCAACTCCATCTCTAGTAGCCTGATAAGCTGGTTTCATGCATCTCCGCTGGCCGTTGACATTTCCGCGCTGGTAAAAACTTTTTTTTTTAACGCCTGAGCATATTGTCTGCTTTTGTCCCCGCTTCACCATGGTCTTTCTCACGCTTCCTCATACTTGCGTTAATAGCTCTCATTGAGTGCTCGCCCGTGGTGATCGACCCACATTATACGCACTGCTTGGTCACAGCTCCATCGTGTTCACCTGGTGTAACTTGTTGAAGTTCTGAGTGAACACACCGCCCTCAGGCCTGGCCGTGTTTAAGGGTTTAAGGGTCTGATTAGAGTTTGAGGACAGGAAATAAAGTGGTGCGCTGACATTTTCAGGTGAATACTCTGAACAGTGAGTGAGTTTGTAACCTGAATGTTTCCTGGTGCACAGATTGAACCAGTTTGTGAAGTAGTGAGGAGAAAAGGTCAGCTGTTTGTACCAGTTGTTGTTTGCTGGTTTACAAGAAGATTTATTCAGCTTTATCCAAACATTTTGTTTAGATATGACTGCAATGCACTCAGTTTAGAACCTACATATGTTCATTCCTGTTTGATTTCCTCATATTAATCAGTAATTGTTACTAACACCGAGTATATTTATCCGGGACAAAACATCAACTTAAAAAAAAGTTCTTCTTTTTGAATGTTAAACCAATAATTATTCATTTTAAAACCATGCCTGTGGCATGATGATGATGATGTTTAAATGGCTGATCAGTATGACCCTGCAGCAGCACACCTACTCTCACCTCATTAGGTCATTAATAAATTTTGGACACACTTAATGATATCTTTGATGTATAGCTTCTTTAATTCTTATATTTTCAACGTAATATCAGCAGAAACTGATCTGAGGTAATACCAAAGCTAAAGGAGGTTTTCGTGCTGTTTGCCACCTTTCCTTCTGCTCTCAGCATTACGTTACACAGAGGAAGATACAATTTAGAGGTGGTTAAGGTAATTTGTGTGGGTACTATGTTACTCCATCCTACCTAGGCAGCCTCTTCTTACAGTCTGTCATTAAATGTGGACATATTTTCAATCCAAGAGAGCCATTTTAAAAATATCTCTCTTACGGACCTAAAAATTTTCATCATTTCAACGTTGTTCTTTGTAGAATCATTGTTTTTCTTTTGTGTCCATATTTATTTAAATGCATTTAATCTCCAGTGATGTGACTAAATGTGACTTCCTGATTGTGATTCAGGATGAATGTATGACTGAAGAAACATGTTGGAATGTGTACAGCATTTTGAAGGATATACAGATAAAACATGTTTGCATATGAAGCCAAACTTAGAGGTGTACATTTTCACTTTTTTCTCCCATTATAATTTCTCACTAATCACATGATTATTCAGTTTGAACTTTTGATTTTGTCCTCAGAAACAAAATGCTCCTGAATAGTGCAGTGATTTTGGTTTTTGGTGTGTATAACTGAGGTACATTTTCTCTGATGGGATATTTTCTTCCTGACGCTTCTGGACTTTCACTTTAATGAACGGATGAAAAAATATTGGATGGAAGTTGCATAAAAGTTGTACTGCATTTCATCACAGTCACTACAGTTTATTTTGTATGTTAAGCGTCCACATTTCCACCAAATAATGCTTTAGATTTTTGGCTTTTCCAGGAAGTTTCGATGCATATTCATGTGTATCTAAAAGTTAAAACTGCACATTTTCCTCTGATATTCTGTCGCTTGTGCAATTTTTGTTTAACATTTTGGAACAGATTGTTTGTTTGATTTTTCTAAAATTTCTGTGTATCAAGTGGTGAAATTTGGTATGTTTAGTTTCCTCTTCCTCTCAGTCTTTAGTAATTTGCAGTAGTCATTTTTGCATCTATCTATGCAATCCTAAAATAATGCTTCACGTTCTTATCAGAGACTCCAATGCTGTATCTTGTAGAGCTTTTGCAGTAAAGTTAACCTTGTGTCACTGTGTGGATTTTATTTGCCTATTCTGCTGGTTGGTTTAAAATATTTCAGATCAGACACATTAAAAAGGTTTTTCTGAGATGGCAGCAGAGGTTCATTGTCAGGGTCATTGTGTGTGTTCCTTTTTTTGTATATTTAGCTTTTAGAGATGCATTTTAGAGACAGGCAATGGAGAGAAAATAAAACTAACTCATAAAGTTGATATTTTTGAGTATTCCTATTGATTGAATTTGGAGTCAGTTTTGGGATTTGTCAATTTAAGTGAATTTATTGTGATTCTTGGCCAGATTTTCTGGTTCTTTTCTGGTTCTTACATGAGAATTCTCAGTGTTTGATTATCTGCTCTTAATAGTGAAATACCAAACAGTCATTAGGTTTTTAGTTTTATTACCTCTCGCAGTAATTGTTTAAAAATGTGTCAGGTCAGATAGAATGTTAAGCACGTTTTAAAATAGAAGAATGATGAGGGAAAAACAGAGAACTTGTGGTTTCCTTTAGTGGCTGCAACTAACATCTCTGCCAAGCTGCCAGCTAACAGCTGCTGCCGACGCCTCTGAGGTAAGACTGACCCGTTTCCACTAATCTTTCTGTCTCTTCCCAACTGTTTTCACCTTTGCTCTGAACACTCTTTTCCTCCTTGTTTCCACAGACCTGTTGAGTCTGTCTAAGCTCCCTGAATCTTACCTTTAATCAATACTAACAACAATCTATCTACTCGTCCGGACACGAGCGCTTGCTTTTAAAGTTTGAGTTGGAGACTCTGCAGCTGCAACTAAGTTGTGGAAACAAGGTTGTTGATGTTGTAATAGTTGAGCTGTTAGTCTTGTCTGTGCTACGTGACTTGTTCAGAGTAGAGTTTGTTTGGTAGTTTTGTGCTGGTTCATCATTGTTGGGTCATCCTCATTGATCTGTGGTTTACAGATTTTAGAGATGCTCCGTCACTCATGCGTTTGTCAAATGTGAATCTAGCCAATGTTCTAGAACCTAAATGTGCAGCTGAGAGATTTTTTCCCCTCATGTTTTTCTCTCATCTCTGCTGTCCTGCACAGATCTCCAAGAGGAGAGTAACGGGTACACTGTTCTTCAGGAAGGGCCGGAACCTGAAGATCTTGAAGAAAACGCTCTGAACAATGATAGCTGTGAGCACTCCAGCGATGAAGATGAGCAGAAAGAAGCTCATAAGGTGGAGCTGCAGGATGGAGGAACAGTTGAGAGTAATGTCGCGGCACACGACTGCAGTGGCTCTAGACCCCTGCTGATGGACTCTGAAGATGAAGAGGAGCACGGATCTCAGTTAGCACGACAGTCATCGCTGCCCCCCAACACATTACCAGTACAACCGTCCGCCCCCTTCCCCCAACCTCCACCAAGCACCTTAGGCCAGAATCACTCCTGGCACGTATCCGAGCCAGCAAAGGGGACGGATGTCACTCCAGACGTCTTCTCTAAAGCTCCCTTTCCAGTCGCACACGAGGACTCCGTGGATGTGTTTGCCAACGCTCCATTTCCCCGTGGACCACGTACAGCCCAGCGGCCGCTCGACGTGTTCTCACAGGCTCCCTTCGGAAAAAGGAAGGAGCCCGCAGCAGCACAACCGAAGACCTTGTACCCACAAGCAGCTGCGGCTCAGAGCCTGACCTCTGATCAGGGCGTGCTGGGACAAATGGTCCAACAGCCATTCCGGCCTCAAGCTCTGTCCAAATACTCCAGACACTTTGAGGGACCTGTGTCGCAGCAGCAGGGTGCAGTTCACAGAGTCGTGTCCGATGTGAGCAGGCAGGCGGATGTGGCAGCCGTCCCAGCTGGACCGCTTTACTCATGGACCTCTGAAGTAAACACTGTTGACCCTTTCGTCTCTGCGCCCTTTAACCTAAAAGCGCCACAAGAAAAACCATGAAATCAGAAAACCAAGTAGTGGAAATTTACGACACTGAATTATGCAAACTGCATCAGACATACTGCATGCTGTAACCAGCACTGCAGCTGGACTGCAGGCCCGTATACATCTCATCCTTATTGGTCCTAGATTAGTTTTGGCAGTGGAATGTCATCGTCCCTACTGCTTTAGTCAGTTTGTAGTTTTCACCTCCAAGCTTTCAGTTACCATTTAAACTTTCTGCTGTAGATCCACACAAAGGCAATATGGTGGCGAAGCATTTCATTGTTTTTCTGTCTACCTCGGTTATTTGAGGACGTTTGTATGGTAAACTGGCTGAAGCTTTAACACAATTACATCCTGTACATTTAAGCTTCATTGTGAAACTGATCTGATGACGCCTCATTCCTCCATCACTTTCAGTAAGGATCAGCTTCACTGAAGACAGAAAAACTGAATAACACTAGAAAATAAAATCTGGGAGTTATTTTGGTTTTTATGACGCAAAATCGTCTGAAAGTTTGGAGCCCTTCTGTTTGACAAGTAGATGCTGGATAAGGATGAAATACCGTAGACATTTCAAGATGATCTTTATTTACTTGAAATAAAACGATCTTATTTTTTTTTCCAGCTAGAAGATTTCAGAATTTGTCATGGCTGTCTTGTTTGTGGTCACCGTCCTATCAAAATAAATACGTTTGTTTCATCCAATGCTTGAACCAGATTTGTTAGGCCAGAAAATTAATGTAATTTGTGTCCTGTGCTATATCAAGGAAGAATATATATGTGACCCATCACATCGAAACGAGGATTAAGTCTAAAAGTGGTGTATGGAGAAATACTCTAGGTAAATATAGTGTTTTGATTAAAACATTAACAAAAATTGCATTTTGTCAAAATATAATGAATAAATGGCTTATCAATGTGTCATTTGAATGAATTGTCTGAAATATAATCATAAAACAAAATTTTGAAGCACTTTTTTGAGCAGTAGCAACAAAAAAAACTGATTTTGAGGAAAGACGCCTTAAAATTTTGAGATTTTACCTCTAGCAAAGTTTTGTTTCTTTCCAGCTGGGGAATCTCAATATTCAAATAAAAATAAGAGGATTCCTCTTTATAATACATCAAAAAATTCTCATTAAAATTACGTAAAATTAGGATTCAGTCCAAATATTTATGTATTATTGTAACCAACAAGACAAATTAAGTCTTACATATGGATTTACTTATATCAGAATGATCCCAGTATCAAAATGTACCTTTTAAAGCCAGGAATCTGAAAGTGTAATTAGGTCATTTTGACCAAATTTGACTTAATCCTCATTTTGATATGATGGGTAACATTTTATTATTTTGGCTCCCTTCAAGATGTTATTGAATCAAAATTCTACCTGTTTGTGTCCTAACAAAATGGCTGCATGTCTAACATTTAACTGCACATGCTTTCAACATCAAATACTTGCTGTATGCAGTGAACTCTCAACCAATGCCAGAATCTGTTTTAATCATGTTTATGATTTCCAAAATCTCTTTTATTTTTGAACAAGTGAAGATAAAATGTCTGACTGATGGATTTACCCCACCCAGACCTTGAAGTTTCAGCCACTTGCTGTGACAGTAGTGTGAGATCATGAATATCTGATTGATCCATATTTTTATTTATTTCCATCATCATGTGGACATGTTTTCTGCTCTTTGTAACGTAATTTAACACTAATTAGTTTCTTTTGTTTTTAAGAATATTTCAACCCAAAGCTTAAACTTGATTTGTTCCTTTTGTGGAAGTTAATTTTTTAGTTTTTGTTGTTGAACAATCTTTTTTTAACATGTAAACTATTCTCCCCCAGCCTGCACGTATGGAAAATTGCACATGGTCACCAGTAGTGTCGGGTTTCTTGAAGAATGTGTTTAGTCAGCTGTAAAAAAAATAAAAACAAAATAGCATTTTGAGTGCTAAAGAGAGAAACAAACTGAAGGAATAGCAGATGATGCTGTTGGACAATAAAAGCACTCCAAATGCGTGTTATGCTGCACAGCCTGTCTTTAAAAAGAATGTTGTACACAAAACCAATAAATGAATGTAAATCCACCTTTCTACAGTTTTTGCACTTTTTGTTCAGTAATTGGTTTTAAATTAATTTTCAGCCCAGTGCCTGACTTTTTTCCCCCTGGTTATGCCACTTAACTCTGACATCTGAATTCTGGTATAAAAAGGCTCCTAAACTCAAAGGATAAACCAATGTTTTCTAACCATAATAAGCAACTTGGCAAAAGGACAAATTTTCAAATGTGGTTTATAGGTTTTTTCTTACCACCAGCCTGTCACAAATATGCAATTTGACCAATTTATTTATTTTGATGCATAGCCTATATGAAAAACATGAATAACACATTTTAACAAACAAAATAGTTATTTCGTTCCAAAATGTTGATTTCCAATGAGCTAAGCTAAAAAACCTGCCTTACAGTATAATAAATAAGGATGAGGTTTCTGTACTGGACAGAAAGCGTCTTTTTAAAAGTGTGAATAACTATTGATCATGTCATTTTTAAAAGGTTACAAGAACAACCGGCTTAAAGAGTAACTTACCCCAAAATTAACTTTTTTAGTTGATAAACTGTCTAGAATGTGTCTAAAATCTTATACAGTACTGTTTCTGTGCTAATTTTGATGTTTTTGTGTGTATTTGTTCAAATCTGTAATATTTGGTCTAAAAACGTCTTTTTGCTGCGCATATGGGTAGAGCAGTGGTAAGCAAAATACTTGGAAAGTTTGATGCTATATAAAAGCTGTCGCCAGGGGGCGGTAACACAAATGAACCGGATGTGAACCATCTGAAAATCAGAACAAAGGAAGAAGAACAGGAAGAAGCGAAACTGAGTTTTGAAAACGTTTTCAAAGAATGCGATAAAAAGGTGAGTAATTAGTGTTTAAATCATTCATATAAATTTCTGCGGTGTTGTAGGCACGACGTTTGTTTTAGATGTGAGATTTTGCAGTCGTTCGCAGCGCTTCTCCCGCTGCTTCTTTTTTTGTTTTGTTTTCATTTTAAACCTGAAGCGCTAATTATTTTCTGTCTAAACCTGAACAGGTGTGTTTTACTCGTCATCATGGCTAATCCGAGAGTTCTCCCTCAAAGCAAAGAGACTCTGCTGCAGAACTACAACAAGAGGCTCAAAGATGATATCAAGTCCATCATGGACAACTTCACAGAAATCATCAAAACAGCCAAAGTAATCTTTCTTATTTTTACTCAGTTTCTTTTATGTCAGCAAAACTATTAGACATGAACATCACTAACGCTGTGTTTTACCTTTAGGGACTCCTTTAATGCTATGATCTAATTAACCGAAGTATTTTTTATTTTATTTTATTTTATCCAGATAGAAGATGAGACTCAGGTTTCTCGACCAACCCAGGCAGAACAGGACCATTATGAGATGCACGTGAGAGCTGCCAACATTGTAAGTGTGGCACGTGATCAGCTTTTTCCTGATCTGCCTTCTATCACCTTACAGGTTGATTGTAAAGAGAAACAGTTATGAGAGGAGAACAGGGTGAGCTAGTTACAATCACACTGCTTTCTATAGAATAGACCTTTTATAGGATATTTTTTAGTCCTCACATCACCACTGAATAAATCAAAAACATAGCATTCCTTAAATAAAAGCATATCATCAAACACCTTTCTTATCAGAGTGGACTTTCCCTTTCCTTATCATAATGTTTTTGTGAAATCTAAAATGCTGTAATCTTTTGCTCGCACATCTTAAAAAATAAAAATCAGTTCATTGTTTTCAAACTATCCACCATGGTGTGTTGTTTCAGGTCCGTGCCGGCGAGTCCCTCATGAAACTGGTGTCAGACCTGAAGCAGTTCCTGATTTTAAATGACTTTCCCTCGGTGAACGACGCCATCAGCCTCCAGAACCAGCAGCTCCGCTCGCTGCAGGACGACTGCGACAAGAAGCTCACGTCGCTGCGGGACGAGATCGCCATCGACCTCTACGAGCTAGAGGAAGAATATTACTCCTCCAGGTACAAATAATAGGCTCTTACCCATCCCACCGCCCCTCTGTTGTCCCACGCGCAGCTGGGGAGGGGGGGGGGGGTCACCTTTAACCTTTTTACTTCAGCTCCATCTGACAATATTTGGGTTTAAAGTCCTCATCGGCTCAAACCATCTCTGAGTCAGACTGAACCTGATTTCACCAAGTGCCTTTTCATTGTTACTGTTCAGCAAGTGACCTGACCTTTTCTGTTTTATTTAATTTGTTTGGCTCGAGCATTGGACAAACACTAGATATCTGCTGCATCAGCATTTCCAGCTCTCAGTCTCCAAGTCGACACGTATTTCTGTGAATCCATTTGCGTTTATTGTACAATAGGAACACATTTTATAACTCAGAACCAAAGGCTTGGTGTGTGTGTGTGTGTGTGTGTGTGTGTGTGTGTGTGTGTGTGTGTGTGTGTGTGTGTGTTTTTACTGCAGAGCTACTTTTTTGTTGTTTAAATAACAACAAGGACTTTTTCTGTTCTGCAACATTCAATAAACTTGGGGCATTTTAATAAACATCCACAAAGATTCATTGTTTAATAAAATACAGAAGAAATGAGCCCATGTTGACTGTTTACTAGTGTTTTTAATGCAATAAATGACGATTAATTTTAAGCACGTAACTACGTTTATAATCCATATGAGTTGATTTTTGGTTAGGAAAAACATTACATTACATTGGAAGATCTAAAACAATGAGAATTTCTTTTTGTCTAATTTTATTTAAGAACCTGTTTATATGCTTTATTTGAAATCCATTTATAAATGATGGCCTATATTTTAGATTTTAAGAATTGTAAAATTAGATGTAATTTTCAGTTTGTTTATTTGAATCAACTCTTATTCTACTAAATAGATGTTTATTCTGTAAGAGTAACTCCGCAGATGTAATGTTTTTGAACCAAATAACCAGCGCCTGTAACCATGAGAGGAGCCACACATGGTGCAGTTTTAGATTTGTCCCATAATCTCAGGATGGTTGCGAAATAAAGCAAAGACAAAACGCTGCAGTAGTTTGTGTTTTCTTTAAGCATCATTTCTCAGTTGTGTTTGGAGCATGCTGGGTGTGGACCTGCCTTTCTCGCTGCCCTTACACTGCTATTTCCACCCGCAGCTAATCTCACCCTTACCGAGATCAAGTTGATCAAAATCCTAAATCAAATCAAACATGTTGATTTCACGGAGTCTTTGTTTCCCCGTGCTTCTGCGTAGCTTCTAACGAACGTGTGCTTTCCTGTGCTTTTCTGCACGCACCAGTGGGTTTTTAATTTCTGACCTTTCGCTCTTGTCTGCTCCTCTCCTTCTGCACTGCGCTGACTCTTTGCCTCCTCTGCCGGTTTCTGCTCCGCAAAGCTACGGTCAGTGGGACAGCAACGACCTGCCTCTGTGCGAGGCCTTCCGCCGCAGAGACAGCTGGGCGTCCCGGGACAGCAGCGGCAGCTCCACGCAGGAGGAGCGAGAGGACGCGGACGGGACGTCGTCGCAGGACACCAACCCCCAGCCTCACCTGAACGGACACGGGACGGCGACCGCCGAGAAACCATGAGAGGAGGAACGGGGCCCGCTGGGCTCAGTTTCAATGATGTTTCCATTAAACCAGTTTAGCTGACCCGAGTAAAACTCTAAAACTGGATTTCTCTCACTTACAAAATATATCAATTTAACAGCACTGAACAAAATCATCTTTAGAATTAGAAAAATATTGGCAATAAATAAAAAGTTTCTCTTAGTATAAAAAATGCCAATCACTTGTGTTGCTTAGATTTACCATAAAGCAAACACTTCAGTTAATACCTCACAATTGAACTGTTTAAACATAAAAATAAGCTATTTTTTATACTGTATGGATTAAACCCTAGTGTGTTGCTTGCTTTTTTTTTTACTGTTAAATTTAGTTAGGTGTTTTTTGTCATTAAAAACAAAATAAACAATAGTCTTGTTTTTATTCAAGAACTTTTATTTGCTAAAAGCAATAATCCAAATGTACAGATAAAAAGATTAGTTCAACTGTTACATAAAATGAGTGACAGGGATAATCTGCTCTGCTGTGACCCGTTAAGTTCTGTGCCATTATTGTTTCTGTAATGATGTCATTTCTGCTCTGCATCTGACCCATCACTGGAGCAGCGGGCAGCTGTGTAAGCATTAGGGAGTACTCAGGGACACCACGTGTGGCAATGGTGGGAAATCAAACTCGCAACTTTCCGGTCCCTTTTACTGTGTCACAGCTGCCAGTAGGGCTGTGCTGAAATCCTGTGGCTGCAGGTTTGACATCCACTGTAAGAGTTCAGTCACTGTGTTGATCCCTGCTGAGGGGAGCAGCAGGAAAAAACTAACATTAGATTATGATCAGGGTGTTTAATATAATTAGTTACATAAATCACTTGGATAAATGCCTTGCTGCTTTTCTGTTTTCAGAAAATAGCTTAAGCCATGAACTGTAATTTTTCACAGAAAATTTGATTCTCAAAATGTGTACAGTAAACTTAAAAGAATATGAAACAAAAATATTGAGCTTGAATTGAGGCCAAAACATTTTTAGTTATCCAATTTGTTAAAAATAAAATAAATAAAAAAATTCTTTAACTTCAAATATTTGGTCATGGTAAATGTTCTGCATACAATTTAACACAAACTCCTTATATATATATTTTTTTAGTTTAACTTAGCAATGAAACAAACTGTCAGCTAAATAAAGAGTTTTACTCTAAAATTAAGTAGTTTAAATAAATGTCTGGTTGTACCCATGAGAACAGCTGACATGTCGACCAATCACAGCAGAGCATTTCCAGCACAGCTATCTCCAATTTTAAGCACTTCCTGCATTTTTGGTACATCCTTATCAAATGATTTAACTCAATCACATTACATAGAATTGTTTTGTTTACAGAAACCAGCTAATGGTTTTATACAATAATTACAAGGTCCAACATGAAAGTTCTGCCTTTCTTGGCTTTAGTTAAACTGGTTTAGTTGTCACTGAGGCTCAAACTCGACGGTATCATGAGGAGTAACTCCAGAACCAACGCGGGTCATTAATATCTCCGGTTCATCTTCTTAAACTTCTCGTAGTGGTAGTCATCTGTGGCTTTCTCGTTGTTTGGACGTTTGCGAGGGTTTGGTGGAGACGGAGCTGTGGGTTAATAAAAAATATTTAAGATTACTTCAGCTTTTAAAAAACAAGGTCTAAATACAGGTACATGAGAAGCTGAGTCTACACTTTGAGCCTAAAAGTATTTGTAAAGTTTACAGCGACTGTTTTAGAGGCGGGAGGTCTCGTACCTTCTGGTCCTGGATTCTCGGTGTCGCCCACACGCAGTGGTCTCGCTTTGGGCTCCTCTCTGTGTCTGTGGTGCCTCTGTGGTGCATTCACATCCTCGTGATAGACTAGAAGGAAAGAAAAAAAAACATTAACAGACCACGCATGTCTCACTGATTTAAAACTGGTTTACAGTAGGTTTAAACCGAACTCACAGCGATTGTGTTGGACATAATTAACAGCGATGTTTGTGGGAACGAACGACGTGCCAAGGTCTTTCTTCTTGTTCCTTTGTTCAGCCAGAAGCTTGGCTTTGGCCTCCTCTGTCTGAATGATGTTTTTGATCTTTGCGCTGGGAGAAAACATGACACAAACAGCTTCAAACATTTAAACAACTGACGTGAACTGATTTACTAAAGATTCTCTGCACATACTCGATGCCGAGATCAACTTCGGGGATGCCGCTCAGCATCTGATTGGACAACATTTCCTCTGTTTTCTTGGCAGAGTTGACTCGGATGTTCTCGGGCAGTTCATACAGGTGATCCTCAGCGTTTTTCACTTTCACTTTTTGTTCTTCAGCCTCCACCATGCCTTTCTTCTTTTTTAGCTCAGTCTCGATGTATTTCATCCTGTAAAGAAAAATATATACCTTGTTTCAATCAGCTATTCATGAGTATCCATTTTCCATACATGCTTAGAAACATTTAGGCCATTTTTGATGTGCTTAGCAAAAATATTCTAAATCCAAGTGGCCAAAACACATGATCCCTGACAGCAACAGAGTAAAACTCTGTGGAATATATTACATGTAGACATTTAGAAATGTAAATTAAACCATAAAAACAAAAATAGACCATAAATTTAAGGTTTTCGATTGAGGTCAAGCTCTTTGCCTTTAATTCTTGTTTTTGTTTTTCCCACTTTATAAAGTTTCTGTGCACATTAATTACTCCCTCTTACTATAAATCTGCTCCCGGAATGCCTTTGTAGCCCAGCCGTTTTTTTAAGCAACTATCTGTTTTCCCCTATCTTTTCCTTTCTGTCCATACACTAAGTACGAAATCTCGCAAGACTTGCCGAAGGATTTTTCCACGAGACTTTGTGAGATTTGGAGTTCAAATGGCTGCACACTGTTGTTTAGCATCAGGTGTGTGGGGCTGGGAATGAGTGGAGCTGCTGCAGGTTTTAGATACATCTACCAGTGTGGCGTTGATGTATTCTGAGCCTTGTGAAACGGATCAAAACAGGAACTGTACAGGTTCCTATATTTCCCATTCTTGGGTGGCGAGCTACAAGTAAGCCTCGAGCCTGAGCCTGTAAGAAGAAGCCAACTGCAACTTCCATCGGTGAGGTAGGAGGCCCTGCAGCCTGAATTCCCCCACACGAAATCATATACTCCACAGACTCTTTTTCCCAACAAACTTTGAAAATAGCACAGCCTGGTGGGGCTGTACGAACAGTGGGCTGCAACCACACTTGATATAGACCTTCACTGAGAAACTGTTTTGTTCAGATTTAATTGATGCGTTCATTGAAATAATTGAACTGATTGTCATTATTCTCGTGCACGACAGTTCATATTGTAAATTTTTTTTGTTTTGTTTTGTTCAACAATTTCAATACAACTCACCCTGCTGCACTTAAACAATGGGCCTCATGCAAGAACCGTTCGTACGCACAGATTTGTTCTTAAGTTGTGCGTACGAGTGATTTAGG